AGATGCTTGTTCGTTCACTGACTCAGCTTTCCTCCTGCAGTAGGCATCATTGCCTCTGTTTTGTGAGGTGGAGGACTTTGTGGACTGGTGTTGGTTGATGGGTTAATGTTGGACTTGTGGGCTTGGGCAGCATTGGGTTGGGATGTTTTCGTGATGCACATTTTCTTTACTTAAAACTCTCTCTTATACATGAGTTGCTGTGGATTTGTTTCTCCAAAGTACCTAGACTAATACATCTACTTTGTCACCTAGTGTCACTGTGACAAGCCAGAATTGACTCAAAGAAACAATGGCAACAGCTTCAAATGGATTCCAACACAAGTGAACCTATTTGTGCCGGAAGAGACCTGTGCACCATAGGGCTTTCAATGTCTGGTTTTTCAGAAGTAGATCACCAGGCTTTTCTTCTGCAGTGCCTCTAGTTGGAATTGAACTTCTTGTCTGTAGATTAGGATCCTATCACATGAACCATTTGCACTACCTTGAGACACTTAAGCTCAAAGATAGAGTTTGAAATACATTCAAACTTCACCTCATGCTTCATATCATGGAGAGTCCTGATTAGTAAAGGAGGTAGGGGATGATGAATAATCTGATGAGAGCTGCAGGTTAGGGCTGCTCAAGATATATCATTGCCTATGTAACATATAGCTCACTTTGTTGGCTGTGCAATTTAAGGCCATAAAACACAGAGAAAATATATTTGGCTCATATGGGAATCAAATTGTGGGGCTTCAATCTGTTAATGTTGTACTTCTAATCAACTCAGTTGATATAAAAAGATCATAGAATGATAGTCTTCATGAGATGTGCAAGTTTATCAACTATTAATGGCCAATACTGAGTCTTTGGTTCATTTTTACCTATTTCAAATATTCCAAGATTGTTTGGCCCACAGTTCATTGCATGCCTGTAGAACAGAAGTCTTTCAAAAGCAGTTCAAGTAAACTGATTATGGTTATATAAGCCGACAAGCATATTCTCAGAGCAAATGTAGTTTACTTTTTAAGGTATTTTACATATTTTAAGGCTATTGTGGGTAGTGTTGTACCATTATAGTCATGAATTGTTTTGAGAAAATCATGTATCCTTTTTTTGTTGTTCAGTAAAGATATTTAAATGTTAAGTAAAAGGGGAATAAATTAAAAGTAAATAAACTCACTTGCTAATTTGGTGATCTTGGTTTATAGGTTAGCTCTGTAGACACACCAATAATCAATGAATCTCTCTCTCTCTCTAGAAGTGGAATGTTAGTCAGACCAAGATTCGTATCATCTCAACAATCATATTCATCCTGTTTGGCTGTGTGCTGTTTGTTGCTTTGCCTGCCATCATATTCAAGCACATAGAAGGTTGGAGTGCCCTGGATGCCATTTACTTTGTGGTCATCACGTTAACAACCATTGGATTTGGTGACTACGTTGCAGGTAAGGTTTTCCCTGCACTGGCCCTGCCCTCCTAATCCTCTCCAGGTGGATTGTTTGTCACTTGAGTTTGTAGCATGATACAGTAGCAGAGCAATTGAGCATTTATGTTTTATTCTATGAAAGAAACTTCAATTCTTCTTTGTTTAGAACTTTGAAATCCCACTCTAATTTCAGAAATCAATTATCTACCTCTTGACCTACTCTGTTGCTCTTTCTGCTTAGACTCTTAGTTTGAAAAACAACGGTAGACTTCAAAATATACTGCTTAAGACATTCCTTCATCTATAGTATTTGCTTCAGTTAATTTAAAATTCTGAGAACTGTATTGTTTTACCATATGAAAGTATCTAAATTTTTCTAAAGTTCATGTTTCGCTTCTTAATGTCTTTTGTTTTCTTACAGTATCTCTTAGCACTCTCTTTTATAGTTACACAAGGGTGTTTTAAGAGTTCTTGAGAAAACTTCCAATATATTTTAATTCAATTTTTTCCCTGAATTTCTTGAAGCTCCTTCATATTTCCGACTATGTTCTGTTGTACAGCGTCCCTTGTGTTGTTGTGCTCGCTATTGCACTTTTCAGCTCCTGAAGACTCGGGACCCCTTGCATCAAGCACATCTATCAGTGCCACTTTTTTCAACACTATGTACGCACTTTGGGTCTCTGGGTTACAGATGGGTAACTCTGTCAATATAGCAAACCTTTTCATAATGCTATTACAAACTTAATAGTCTACAGTATAATGTAAGAATTATTGTGAGATCTTTCTTTGTGATGTTCTCCATATTGCCGTGGTCAGGAACCTAACTTGAAATATCTTTGAAGTATGCCTACAACTATAATTTTAAACAACTTACAATAATTCAGTGCAGGCAAGTATGATAATGGTCCATCACAAATCATTTTGGCTAATTCCATAAAATTTGAATCACTTTCACGCAGGTTCAAGTTGACATGAAATCTAACCGCCACAGCAGATGAGCTCAAACCCTGTGTACCACCTTAGACATGATAGTAGGATTGTGGTACCAAATGCTTTGGAATAAATTCACCAGCTTATTTTAGTTTTATGAGAGTTTCACACTTTCCAAATATTTACTATTTTCCCTGACCCAAATTTCTGACAAATATTTTCAAAAAGGAAAATAAGATATATGGTTGCTTAAGAGTTCAGAGAATCCTGAAAGTTCATCTCAGTCTATTAAAGTCTTAATTCTGTTTTAACTTGGCAAACACTTTAGATATTCTATCCTTGTAGATCAGGACATGTTCAGGGGCAAACATTTCCTCTTGGTAAAAAGTACACCTGTGTATCACACAAAACACCTTGGAAACAAGATGTATCACTTTGTGGAGACTTTTATGTTAGATAGCAGTCATGTCATATCATTTTCTACTTCTTATTTAAGAAATGATTGTCATGTCAGACTCCTATTTCTTATTTAAGATATATGATTAGTGTTGCGTCCCGGCCTGCGGGACGCACGAGCAAGGCCCTGCGGGGAAAG